ACGAGATCACAGATGGCAGTAATAGTTTGCACCATAGCACCGCCATTCCATAATTCCCAAGAACCAGAGGCACGGACAAGAGCGGTGTAGTGGCCAGGAGCATGTAGAATATAGGCACAAACCTGCGAACAGTGGTCCGGGCCACCCGAAGGGGCACGCTGCGTATCAAGCCGGCGCCTTATCAAAGCAGTCTCCAAAACAGAGACATTGAATCCCCCATGTGGAGTGTAATAACTATCCTGTGGGGGATGCAGAGTCGGGTTATCGCCATATAACTCACGTTCCTGAGCATCAAGATCGGAAGCAATGGCCAAGAAATCAGAGTGAGTATATGGTTCCCGACGATAGGCTTGCAGGCAGATGTTTGTAGCAGCGAGGCCACACAGATTCGGTGGAGGCCGATCAGGCGGATTTTCTACAGAATCTCCTACACTCCCCTTGTCGAGTTCATCCTCGGATGCTCCGTCGCCATCATCCCTCCTGTTTTGTGTTTGCCGCGTTGCAGAAAGGTCTGCAGTTGAAGAGTGGTGCAGGCGTGGTAAGGATGCTTGGGGCGGCAAAAGACGAGGACGGGATGTTGGGGAGGGTCGTGGTGGGGAGAATGAACGGGTTCTTCTTCGTCCAAGAACAGAGAGAGGTTGGGAAGTAGGTCGAAGTCGGCATCTAGGACGGCGAAGTAGGCTTTCTGCAGGGGCAGAACTTGATGACGGAGTCTGTGTGGACGAAGTGGTTTGTGGATTAGGAAGAGGGGTAACGGATGGAGACAAAACCGGGGGAGGTAGGAGTGGTGAGGACAGGGGTGGTAGAGTTGTCGGAAGGTGGGTAACATACGGCGATAAAAGCAGGGGAAATATAGGAGGTGAAGACGGGGGGGATGAAGTCAAAGGTGGTGAAGTGGCTGAAGCAGAGACAGGGGGGGGTAGTTGTAGGTGAGACCCGAAGAGGGGACTCTGCAGGTGGTAATGCAGGCATGGCCACGGATGCCATGGAGGAACGCACCGGGACCAAGGGCGACAAAGCAGCTGCGGTGGTCATGGATGCCATGAAGGAACACACCGAGACCAAGGGCCGCACAACAGCTGCGGTGGCCACGGATGCCATGGAGGAACACACCGAGACCAAGTGCGACACAACAGTTGCGGGTCGAGTTGCTCCCGTGGAATCAGAAGCAACCAAGGCCGATGAGGAAGAGGCTGCGAACGGGAAAGGGGCAGCCAGGGTCACAAACGGCATGGAAGGGGTTACTAGGACTGATGAGGACGCAGGTGCGGTAGACGCAGGTAATGAAGAAGAGGCTATGATAGGTGTGACAGGCGCCGATAATGAAGAAGGGGTTGTGACCGGCGTAGTCCGAGGACAGTGTGTGGATACCCGAGAAAACGGGTGATGAATAGACCATCGAAGCATACTGCAGAACCAGCTGGAGAGGCGGGTCACGTGCGCAGGGTACCTGTGTTGACGTTTACAAATATAGGAAGTCCATCCTTCCGCAAGCGTTGTTGGAGAGTGCTCGCGAAAAAGCATGCGGCGTGTGAGCATCGCTGCTGCAGTTTTGAAATCATACCAATTGTTGTAGACATACTCAAAAGCTGGCATGTAAACACTCCCGCCGGCTGGTGTGCAGGGACGTTAGACGTAGCACTAGGATAACGAATAACAGGGAAATTCCATTCATCTGCTTTGTCAAAGACACTCATACGCAGGGAGCCGTCACGGCGGACTTGAAGGCGTGCACCTAAGAATGTGCAAGAGCCATCAGGCGCTGTGGTCTCCTTCCATTTGAGGCCATAGTGCTCTGACGGTGGTGGTAGATGTCCCCATGAGAGAACATCATCGATCAAGCGGTATGTGAACGCATACCGTTGAGCTGCGCGAAGATCACACTGCTGGAGGTCATCAACAAATCGAGCCTCATCCCAATACAACGTCAAATTAGCTATCTCCAGACCAGAATTAGTCCCCATCGGGATGCCAATCAGCTGATGTCACAAGGTGCCGTCCGCTGCATAAAGATACGTGTTTGTGACAATGAAATGGAGACGTTCAAGAATTTGGGAAACGATCAAGGTGTTTGGTCCGGTATCAACCGTCCACTCCCCTTGACAGGGCCTTTTAACAATCATGCTAAGGGTAGGAGAATGTGTGCGCCCCTGTATCTGTTGTTGTAAGGCATATGTATAGAGGCTTCCTCAACCGCTTTTGATACATTATGACAAATACGGTCATGAGGAAGATTGGTATACATAGTTGTGAAATCAACAGTGAGAGCAGCATGGTCACGAAGAGAAGAGGAATTACGTTTGAGATCAAGCATCACCTCCTCAGCGCTTTGCACGATCCAGCACCGTCTCACACCGCTTTGCTGATACAACACATTATCCTTCTCACGGAGAGTTTCAATGACTCCTTGTAGTGCAACGCTAAGGCGGGCAGAAGCGACGGTAGTACTAGCCAAGGGTTTATGGGAAGGTCGATGGTGGACTGCATGAACAGATGGCGCAGCTGATCGAGATCGCTGCGGCAGGGAGAGATTATTCCGCTCTGTGACGCCGACAATACTGCGAAGCCCAGGGAGCGATTTGTGCGCTTTAAGTACATAGTACAGATATGGCAGCGTGTCTTTGTGTGTATATCCCCACCGATGATTCCAGAGCGCGTGATGTTCCAGGATATCTGCGACAGACTCAAGAGGCACATCATAGGTAGGGCTGTCCAAATGAGCAGATAGATGAGACAGGTACCAATTCTTACAACAGATTGCCAAGTTATGTGAGGTCTCGTCGACAGGAACAATAACAAAGTGTTGTTGAAGGTGTCTCAAAGCCCTGTGCACCGAGTGAAGGGAGTGTGATTGTCGTGTGGTAGTGTAAGGGGATGAAATGTTGCTTTGGCAACGTGTGAGAACGGTTGAGCTCCACTGCTACAATTTGTTCAGAGCGGCCGGCCGAAGCTGCTCGGAGACCGACCTCAGGTATTTAGCAATATACTCGTCGAGGCCGACTCTAATAGCCTGAAGCACATCAGCGATTTGTCCATTAAGACACTACTTAGAGCCTTCATGGAACAAGTCGCGAAGGCGATCATCAGGAATAATGTCGCAGTCGGCTGTAACAACATGGCCGTCGACTAAGTGTGAGCAGTCAGGAAACACTTTCTACCATTGACAGTCTGAGGGGTATAGTCAAACAGAGCTGCCCAGTAAACCGTAGGCAGAGAGGGAGAAGAGGACAACAAACTAGGGGCTGTGGCAAATATATATATATATATATATCGTCACAAACAGAACTGCCCGGTAAACCGTAGGCAGAGAGAGAGAAGAGGACAACAAACGAGGGGTTGTGGCAAACTAATTCGTCGGAGTTTCACCGACTCATCAGGAGGCTGAACCCTCAACAGTCTGCGGAATCCCCT